GGGTTCTTCATTAAGCCTCCGTGTTCAGACTCCAAACTAAGCGGAGACTTGATTATTATATTCTGTGTGAATGCCAGAATGGCTGGAAATTGCCAGCTACCCTGACCGTTTGTCTTCTTCCTTTCCCCCTCAGTTTAGGAAACTTCAATCATAGATAGATGAAGGTAGACAGTGAAAGACAGAAATACTTTGGTGGAAATACTCACATGGGAATATAACACATAACAGTTTTATTTAATCCTTCCTGAAAGTTATGATCATAGTAAGCTAGGAAGGATTTACTATCTGTGGTGGTTGATTGTACCCTGGATTATTAAGCAGTAGCATACAAATAGGAAATAAAAGCGTAAGCTAGAAGACCACCACACTGAAACACAGACTTAGCTGCTCTATGACACTTCCTGCATACGAAATGACTGATGGGGAGATGAAAGCTTTGTTTTGAGAAATACCAATGACAGAAACACACAAGGGCAGTTACACGCTTCAGACTGGTGTCTCTAAGAATCAGACTGAAAGATGACTGAAAGAAAGACTGAAAAGATGCCCAAATAATCATATAGGAATCAAGGACTTTTATACACGGTTATGGAGTTGTACATGGGTTCTTTTTATTATGTTCATAACCTCTAAATTATTACTCAAATATGGTAGACACCAGCACATTTCTGGTCTCAATGTGACAACTCTTCCGTCTCTTTCCAGTTCCTCAAGGTAACACATTACTGCTGTGCATCCCCCAGCCCCCTCCTTTTTTTTAAAAAAAAAAAGTAGGTTTAAGCACAGAAGATCTAATGTGAAAACAGCATGAAGTTCCCAGAGCCCCCATCTCTCCAGATATTCTTCTGCAGTAAAGAACAGTGGAAGATGTAAATTGAAGCATCTCACACATGCACACACACACATCAGTGTGTTCATGTTTTCTCATTAATTCTCCTTGTGAAGTTACGACTGAAAAAAATAAGGAAGCAGCCTATAGGCAGCTCTGCAAGGGTATTAAATGAAAACTGTATTTTGAGATTAAGCATATGACAGTTTTGGATAATGTAATCAAATATATGGATTCATTTACAGTATGTGTACAGTACGAACAGATTTCTTCAAGCCAAAACACTCTCGGCTGTGTATTATGAAGGCTCATTACAAACGGGCTGTCTGAAGTCCTGTACTTTGTAGGTACCTGCTCTATCCCTGGGAACATCACCTTCTCTGACTCTCCCTTGCTCTTTTTTTAAGAACACAAGCATCAAGTATGCTGTGTTCCAAAACCAAGCCATCACTACAGGTCTCATCTATAACCCTACAATGCTATTACTGTTGTTGCTGCAGTGTTCCCTTCAGTGCTGTTTCTAAACACTGATTTCAGGAGCAGACTGACTGCAAAGAAACCATGGGAATGCCTGGTGAAGTGAGTCTTTTAAGATACAGGCTGTTCATTTTCTTTAGCAATTTGTTCCTCCAGTGTTAACCACTTTATCCAATCAAGTGAAGACAGAAAGCAAGAGTCAGGAATTGTTCTTGCAACTATTGCCTCCATGGTTCAAGAAGATGAGCATGGAAAGCTGGTGCATTTTTCCAACACACTTTCAGATAAAAGCCGTCTTTATTTTTGAGTTTCGTACAAACCTGAGCACATTGCCTGGCTTTCCATAAAGAGCAGTGAAAAATAATGTCTGACTTTCCACTGCATGCTCGGGAGAAGGAGGCAGCTGATTCTTTCTTCTGTATGTTCTGGTTCACTTACCACATAAGATGCCAGAAAGAATGAGGAAAAACACCCTCGTTTTTAAAGTCTCATATGCTCCACCAGAGTTAAACAATCGGTGAAAATTTTTCCTAGCCTCAAGCAAAGTTCATCCCCTTTATGAACATATTGAATTATTCCTGCCACTATTTATAGTTCAGCCTATAATTCATTACATGAACTGAAACTCCTTCTGCTCAGCTGATCTGCTATACCTTCTGCATGCCTGGCAAATAGAGGATCATTCACTTAAATCAGTGTATCGTGGACTGACGTCGCTGATGGCTAAAGAGGAAGACCGCTCCTGCTTAGACAACACATACCTACTGTGTTACCTGAAAGTTCATATTTAACATTCTCTTTGCAAACAAAGTAGCTGTTATACAGGTTTCTTTATTGTCCCTTTGACTTGGGAACATCCTTGATCTTCAAATCACCCAATCGCCACAGCATAGAAACAAAGCCACAAGTGTTACGACCTCTGGCTTCTCCTTCCAGAGAAGACAACAGGACAGAAAGTAGGATTGTAAGAAAAACTTGGGAAACAAATTACTACTTTTTCATGCATGCACTTCATATTTTAAGAAAATGAATTTGCTAACTTCTTAGTTATACCCTGAAAAACATCAACCACTGGCTTTGGTGTTCTTAACAAAAGCAAAGCGCAAGACATAGCAGCTAGCCTCGAAACCAAAGGTAGTAAGCAGACATGATGAGTAAGGAACTTGCTGAGTAAATTTTTCCCTTTGCTTGAATTGTTCCCTGCTCATCAGCCTAACAAGTATTCTGGTCTCAGTCTCTCCCTTTAAAGTTTTCCATTTTGTACAGAATAATTTACTAAAACAAAAGGTTACTAAGGGAATAAGCTAATGCTGCAGACCAGTCATCCAGGCAGTAACCTGGGACGTGTAACAGTTGTCCTCTAGTCCTCAAAAAAATACAGGTGGATCATCAGCATCAGAAAATACAAACAGAATCCCCAACAGAAAATGCAAGTTTTAAGCACTATTGAGGAGAAGAGGGAATCTGAATTTGGAAACCTCATATTATGTGCATTATCCACCAAATGGCCACAATAATAGTTATGAAAACCTCCCCAGAACACAACATTGGGAACAATAGCCTCTCCAGAAAGTTTTTTTCCCAGCTGAAATTCCTCCAAAATTTCAAGGTGACCAAGACTACAATTCCAGTAAACAAACTATTCACATGAATAATCCCTACCTAGCTTTTAAAGCAAGTAAAAGCACTCAGCATTTAATGGCATACCGAATATAACCCACTTTCTGTCATTATCCCCAGACCATTATTTATTTCTGAATCGGATAAAAATAATTCTGTAACTAAAAATCCCAAAAGTGATTACCCCATGCAATGCTACAGGCGTGGGGAAGAGTGGCTGGAAAGCTGCTTGGCAGAGAGGGATCTGGGGGTAGTGGTCAGCAGATAACTGAATATGAGCCAGCAGTGTGCCCAGGTGGCTGAGAAGGCCAACAGCATCCTGGCTTGTATCAGGAATAGTGTGGCCAGCAGGACCTGGAGAGTCATCCTTCCCCTGTACTTGGCACTGGTGAGACCGCCCCTTGAATACTGTGGTCAGTTTTGGGCCCCTCACTACAAAAAGGATATTGAGGCACTGGAGTGTGTCCAGAAAAGGGCAACAAAGCTGGTGAGGAGTCTGGAGCCCAAGGCTGATGGGGAGCGGCTGAGGGAACTAGGGTTGTTCAGCCTGAAGAAGAGGAGGCTGAGGGGAGATCTTATCGCCCTCTACAACTGCCTGACAGAAGGGGGGAGCCAGGTGGGGGTCAGCCTCTTCTCCCTGGTAATGGGCGATAGGACGAGGGGAAACGGCCTCAAGTTGCACCAGGGGAGGTTTAGGTTGGACATTAGGAAAAATTTCTTCACTGAAAGGGTTGTCAAGCACTGGAAGGGGCTGCCCAGGGAAGTGGTTGAGTCCCCATCCCTGGAGGTATTTAAAAGACATCTCTAGCTGTGGTACAGCTGGACTCGATGATCTTAAAAGTCTTTTCCAACCAAATGATTCTGTGATTCTATTATTTAAAGATTATTAATGGGCAAATCGCTTTCTTAAACTTTACATGCGGCTTCACATAGAAAATAATTTTACTCTTTTTTGTTTGTTTGGGTTTGTATTTTTTGGGAAGTCAAGAAATGTAGCACTGATTCCAAAATAAAAAAGCCTATTGAGGTATAAAGTAGTCTATTCAAAAGTGGATCACATTCATACCATCAAAAAAAATTCACTTCTCTTGAAGATTATGAATGCTGCGTTGCATATTATTCACAGAAAAATCAGACTTCTCCCAAGGGGGATGGGGCACTGAATGGTTTCCTATACCTTCTAACTTACTCAGTCCATCTCTCCTTTTAACAAAGCAATCACGTATCTTGGGATATCCTAAGATATCTGTGCTGGCAAGCGTGATAATTTAAACATCAAACTATATGCCTCACGTTATGACTAATCAGTTTCCTTGGAGAGTTATTCAAGGCAGTTTTCACTGACCCATGACTGTAAGATATCCTAGGCTCTTCAATAAACCTGGGCTGCAAAAAACCCCCAAACAAAACTAAACAACAACAAAAAAAAAAAAACCACAAAAAACCCCAATCATAGATCCACCAGTAACCCAAAAGACTAAATTTAAATATTAATCAGTACAATATCTAGCATACAAAGGAACAAAAACAGTAAACTGAAAATTAATTCAAATGGGGGATTCCTTAAAAAGGGATTTATGATTCCTGAAGAATTCAGCTATACCCATTTAAAGGTGTCCCCTCTTTTCAAGTTTTTAAAGATTTTTCTTTTTTCCTTCCTTCACATTCTCAAAGCATAAACCAAATACAACTTCTAGCTCTCTGCAAGACAGGACAAGCAGGTCTGATGCTTCATCTGCTCCACAGATTGTTTTGCAGACGTGAACACAGTACGCTGTGTGACCCCAGCTCCAATCCCACAGTGCAAGCACAATTCAGTACAGCTCGCAATTACTACTAGGAGTATGTTAGAGAGCCTACGCAACATTGCCCTTAGAAATTCCTTGCATTTGACCACCAGTTTTGTTGGATTATTGTTATTAGGTTATTAAGTATGATTACATTTTGAAAAATAAAAAGCCTTTTTCTTTTAGTGTGATTTTTTTTTTTCCTCAGATCTCATAAACAGAGACAATCTAATTTAAGGTTATACATTCATTCAGAAGTGACAGCTAATGAAAAAACATAACTTTACCTTTTCACTATTCTTGTATTTTTCCCAGCTTTTCAACATCTTAAGCCATTTTGTAGTTCTTTCAATTTCAAGGTGTTTTTGCTGAAAAGAAATTAGATTCAAGATTTAAAAATTATCCGTGTATTTCTAAAAACACTGAGAAAAAGTTTAACACAGCGTCAACTTTTTATCCAGTCATCTAAGAACAGCAGAGAGCAACATCAGTTCACTTAAAGCTTCCAAAAAACCAGCCAACCAAAAACCAAACAGAAACCCTTCTTTTCACCACTATGTAAAGAATTGTATTTTGTAGGAGAAGTTTAAATACAAGATTTATAAAAGTTTCTTCTCTACACATTATTTGCAAGTACAAAAAAACCTTCAATTTGTTTTTATACTCCACAATTTTTCAGGCAAATAATTTCTGCTGCAAGCTTTTTAAAAGTTAGTTAGCTCTGAAATTATGATCATCTTTGCCCAGACCTGCCTTAATCACAATTAGCCACTGTTTTCCAGTGATCACACAAACTATCTCTTCTTAAAAGGCGCTCAAAGAATTGTGGTCAACAGCGCGATGTCCAGGTGGAGATCAGTGACGAGCGGCGTTCCTCAGGGGTTGGTAATGGGACCGGTACTGTTTAACATCTTTGTCAGCGACATGGACAGTGGAATTGAGTGCACCCTCAGCAAGTCTGCCAACACCACCAAGCTGTGTGGTGCAGTCAACATGCTGGAGGGAAGGGATGCCATCCAGAGGGACCTTGACGCCCTTGAGAGGTGGGCCCATGCAAACCTCATTAACCTCTACAAGGCCAAGTGCAAGGTCCTGCAGCTGGGTTGGGGCAATGCCAAGCACAAATACAGGCTGAGCAGAGAATGGATTGAGACCAGCCCTGAGGAGAAAGACTTGGGCGTGTTGATTGATGAGAAACTCAACATGACCGGGCAACGTGCACTCGCAGCCCAGAAAGCCAACTGTATCCTGGGCTGCATCCCCAGCAGTGTGGCCAGCAGGTCGAGGGTTGGGATTATGCCCCTCTACTCTGCTCTGGTGAGACCCCACCTGCAGTGCTGCATCCAGCTCTGGGGCCCTCAGCACAGGAAAGATATGGACCTGTTGGAACAAGTCCAGAGGAGGCCACAGAAATTATCAGAGGGATGGAACACCTCTTCTGTGAGGACAGGCTGAGAGAGTTGGGGTTGTTCAGCCTGGACAAGAGAAGGCTGCGGGGAGACCTTATTGCGGCCTCTCAGTACTTAAAGGGGGCTTATAAGAAAGAAGAGGACAAACTTCTTAGCAGGGCCTGTTGTGATAGCACAAGGGTTAATAGTTTTAAACTAAAAGAGGGTAGATTTACACTAGATATAAGGAAGAAAATTTTTAAAGTGACGGTAGTGAAACACTGGAACAGAGAAGTCGTGGATGCCCCATCATTAGAAGTGTTCAAGGCCAGGTTGGATGGGGCTTTGAGCAACTTGGCCTAGTGGAAGGTGTCCCTGCCCATGGCAGGGGGTTGGAACTAGATGATCTTTAAGGTCCCTTCCAACCCAAACTACTTTGTGATTCTATGAAAGTTAAAAGGGCACAAAGTGCAAGAGAAACAGTGCAGTAGTAGAAGTGGGATAAAGTTCTAATTCTGGATATTGAAAGCCTTGCTGTAATTCTCACCCTTGGCTCGGTACCTTTTTACCTAAATAGCCCTGCATCTTAACATCAAGGATTTCTTCTAAAGGTAAGATCTACTTGCTTAAGCAAGAGTATTTCAGTAACAAGGTGATAAAATGAAAATTCAAACCAAACCAAACCATATCTTCTCAAAATAAATAGTTATTTCAAGTAGTGTAACATAATAAATATGTCGATTCCACACATTATTTATATTATATATGGCTTTAAAAGCATAGGACAACCCTACTACCTTAAAGATTGCCATTCTGCCTATGAAAACCTTGCTACAGTTGCCACAACTTCTTGAATTTGGGAACCAAACAAGCACTTTGAATTAGCTGTTTTAGTCCCTGGAATTTCAAAGCACTTTGACTTGTCACAGCCAAAAATCTGTATTTTTTTGGCTCCAATGATAAGAAGATTTTTAGTCCATGTTTTTACAGCCCACTTTTACATGCTGTAAAGTAGGCAAGGTGTCTCTGATTATACTACAAAGTTAACTATTAACTGTATTTTTAAATTTTTTTTTAACAGTATTTCAACTCTTTCATAATGCTTTGGAGCTAAAGATCAACACTGGAAAAGCTAAAGCAGAAAAATGTACGTGTGTGGCTATTTCTTTCTCGTCAAAGATTAATATAAACAAATACGTGGGGTTTTTTGTAAAGGACAGCCTGCCTACCTCCAACTTCAAATCCAAGGCTTAATAAAGACAGGAAGGATATTCTGTTTCATATGGTTAGCGATGCAATCCAGTAACAATGTAAGAGTTTAATTTCAAAGCTCTGCAGGATACTGAAAACTTATTAATACTTTCATTAACTGTATCTAAAATGTTGGGGGAAAATGTAAAAGAAAATTATTGCTTATTGTCTCAATAGAATTCTAATTTTACTTCTAGCTTTTACTCATCAGAATTTGCGCATTCTTTCTTGACCATCAATGCAAAATGGGCAAAAAAATACTTTAATGCAGGAACCCAAAGCCTTGCACTTGCAGAAGTATGACTTGATGACTGCTCAGGTCCATTCCAACCATGATTCAGTCCATTAATTGTCCTGGAAATAAGCTGGGTTTGTTTTTTTAAGTTATTTTTACTTGAATCCAGCTGATGTAAGCCTGACATAAGAAAGTTATGGGGAAAGAAGTGCGTCTACTCTCTCAGCCTTAACTTACTCAACTATTCATATTGCAATGAACTGCCCACATTCTTGTTCAGGATCCATGCTGCATTTTGTAATACCCTCAACCACTTGCCTTTTTTATTATTATTATTTTTAATTACTTAAAACACTGTCTTCGCTGTTAGGTTAGAGGGGAACCACAGAAATACTGCTTCCCAAGTTTCATAGGTTTCACAACATTGCTTCTGATTCTCCTACATTTGCAACCCCTTCAAGAAATAAGCATTTTTAACATCTCTAAAGCAGATGTTCTCTAGGCAGAGTTTAGATTGCAGGAATAACACTGCTATCAAGTCAGGAAAGGTCTCTGCCCTCAACAGGTTGTTCAGATAATTGCTAAGAAAAATAAAAACCTATCTGCTCCCACAGTCTTTTTGTTTGTATGTTTGATCTACTTTGAAGATTTTGGTCTTCTGAGACAGCAGCTCACTTCAATTGTATGTTTGTTCAAGCTTTTATGTCTCTGTGTCAATTTATTCCAGTTCTCAAGTGATGCTACTGTAGTTAAAATAGCAATTATTTCTGTGTTCAGTTGTTGAAAACTTTTAGATTTTTTTCCCCAGTCTGAATTATGTTCACTTTCACATCTAACAGGTGCAACACTGAAAACATGGATGAGATCTGACACAGCTCATTGCAGAGCAGACAGATGATGATGCTCTTTCAGGCAAGTTCCATGTAGTTGTCACAAAAAAAAAAAAAAATCCATTTATCTGTCTTCTGAGTATATTTTGCACTTTGCCATTGGGAATAACAGAATCCCTAACTGAAGCAGAGCAGGTTTCTTACTCTTGTGTCAGTAAATGATACACTACTGAAAGCAAAAAAGCATGAAGTTAAGTTGGCAAGCGTCCATCTTTCATGCAGCACTCTATGTTCCTGGAGAGCAAGTGTGCTAGAGCTGAGGCCAAAAGTAATGCTTTAGCAGAAACCTCAGACAAAACTAGAACTCACTGAACAAGTTCCCTGGAGAATTTATAATCAAGTAAACCAAAGACAAAACCAAACAAACTGAAAATGACTTACAAAACATTTCACAGCACTTCAAAAGCAGAGTCAGACACAGACTCCAGATTTCCTGAGGTCAGTTCTCTGTCCACTTTTCTCTTGTAGATGATCTTTCCTCCCCTAGTTTTATCTCGGATGTGCTGTATGATTCATCTGAAGGTTAAGTAGTTCATAATGTAGGGCAATGATTCGATGCATTTAAGCCACCAAATGCCCAGCAAGGTAATGAAACATCAAAATTACTCTGCCTTCACAGTAATAATGCCTATTCTAAAAGTATTACGCATGTAAATACACACAGAGAATACCTAGCTTAAGCTTTACACTAGAATGTATATGAAGAGAGAATCAAAATTCACGAGGATACACAACCCTTCACCTAAGTTGCAAATGAAATGAAAACACGACTTAGGAATATTTTTTAAAATTCACAAGTAAGGCAAAAGGAAAGCATAAATATATCTGCCAAGTAAGTGACTTTAAAAGATGCTGCACAGAAAGTTTTTAGTCTTAGCCTACATTAACATGACACATTAATTATCCTATGAATGATATCTTGACAATTGTAGAGATTCAAACACGGCTGACAGACGACATGATAAGCCTCAAACCAGCAGAGGTCAGGATACCATCAGGAGTATAACCAGGAGTCTAATACAGAAACATTACTGTATGATTATAAAAAGACACTAGATTTGCAATCCAACATTGATTCAATAAATAGTTTCTATGCTGACATTTTGTCTGAGGCAGCATGAATACAGTATGGGACAGAGAACTGAGACTCTTACTTTCCCCCAGTAATTTAAGGCTAACTACAAAGCCACGGTGAATCGGAGCTTCAAAACACATATACCACAGTAACTGCAAGCTGTCCAATATTTATGCTCATAGACTCACCACCCCAACGTGTCCTTCTGATGGAAATGAAATTGTACATACACTCGCTGTGTTATTAAATGTAATGGAACATGGCAGGAAAAAGCAGCTATTTCAGGCTGCATATGCAGAAACACACACGAATCAATGCAAAACTTCTCTTTTATGAGAAGTTCTTACTAGGCCAATACTGAAGCTCAAAATTACTCGTTTTTAGAAACACTGTTGCTCTTAACACTCAAGGAGCAAACCATTCTGTCCCTTTTCCGTGCATTCTACTGATTTGTGCAGCCAAGGGGGCTAACTTCAAACTTACAGCTTTAAATACTTTGTTGTGAGTTTTCTGATAATACAGAAGATAAATATGGACAAACCAGAAGAATCTGATCTGGTCTTGGAGATAACAATGGGCGTGACAGAACAAGGGGAAATACCAATAGTATTTAGGCCCAGACATGTAGAAATTCAGTTCCCAATCATTTTAACAAAAACATTCCATGTTCCCAGAACATCAGTTCCCAAACTTCTCCTCCAGTACCCTCCAGCAACAGAAGGATTTTTGGACTAGGGCCTGCACCAGCTGCTGACAGGTCTTGCATGTCCAGAACACACCTGGCTCATCAGCTGAACACAGCAAGGGAGGTCACCACATTTCAGTGGCAACCAGGATATTTGTCACCATTTACCAAACTAGAAAAGCATGCTACACTCCTCGGGGGATGGTAACGTACACCTCGGCATCAAAGCCACCACCTCATCTGGGCAACCCATCCACCCAGCACAGTTGATGACAGCTCATGACACAGAGTCAGTGGCTCTCTCTCTTTCAGGGCAGAGCCGGGTGTGATCGCTTAAACAGCTCCATTTCCTTTACTAGGTCATATAATGGGTGAGGAAAACCCATGTCTCATTGCAACTAGTAAATGTAAGATTGCGTGGGCCCCAAGGGACCCGTGGGCGAGTTAACACGGCCTAAGGACCACAGTCCTTATGGGACTTAGAACGTGTTTCCTTGGGAATGCAAATCACTAAAATGCTTAATCTCCTCATTTCGCAATGATTTATATTTAAAAGTCGTAAATCTGTAAACGTTTACTTCCCAGTCAAAAAACTGGAAGACACTGGACTTACCTTTTCTATCACTGCATCATGGACAGGAAGCTCCTCTGGACTGAAAACAAAAACAAAGTTCATATTACTCTTGGTTAATCTTGGCACAAAATCATTTCTGTATAAGTTCTTACAAGTAATCATTTACAGTAGCAACATGTAGCAATGAGTAAAAAAGAATTCTGAACTTTAGATGACACACAGGAGCCTTTGGAATTTATTTTTTAAACACAGTAAAACTCACACCATTTCACATACAGAACCAGAATTATTTCAGTCTTAAACCTTCTAAATCAAAGTAGCTGCATAGCTTCAAAGGACTTAACAAAGTTTGTTTCTTCTTTAGTAAAAGCACCCTGTGCTGCACTACTGAATTGAAACCTAAGTGAATTTTTTGTTTTGTTTATTAGGCCATACTACCCTTAGCTGAAATACCCCTATTAAGGGTTTTCCTCCTTTACTACTGTGCCCTGTGACAGGCACCAGCCTTTGCTTGACTTAGGAGACTTAACTTCCATTTTCTTCACGCTCTACAAAACTCACTCTGAGTAATAGGGAGGAGGCGGTACAAAAAACCCCCAACAAAAATCAGTTTTATTACTGGGTCTCTAATTAATACTAAAAAAAATACAGTCCTTTCACTTCTTAGCATAAATCAAAAAAGATGGGGTATGAATTGAAAGCTTGAAAAGCAGCCTTTGAACAGAAAACTTTCAGATTTTGTATTTTTTTAGTTTCATTCTAAGGGCTCTAACTTCTGTTTTTCTTATCAAAGAAACTTGTGTTTTTCTTATCAAAAGTAACTGGACCACTTTGATGCCAAATGAGCCTGCCTGCCTTTGCCTACATCATCTGCAGGTTCTGAAAACATAGCAGCTCATCTGTAAGTAGGAAGGCTCCCTTTTTCTGCTCTGCAGATCAGATAAATAACACACCCAACAAAACCCTGTTTAAAAGGGACTAAAAAGCAGGCACTATGTGAAATCCTTTAAAAAAAAAAAATTCCTACTGAGGCTTGATATTATGAAAAAAATTCCTACCCACATCACTACAGCTTTCTATAGCAAGATTAAACCCCAGTATTTTAGACCTGTATCAATCTGTGCAACGCCAAAAAAAAAAACCACTGGGGAAGGCTACAAAAGTAGTTGCTGCTGCAGTCAATGGAAGAATGGTCTGATCCAAAACGCTTGAATTATATTTGATCTCATTTATTTCATTTTAAAAATGCCGTTTCAGTTTTGTAAGGTGTATTTGAATAACGAAATAAGTTTGAATTACTTCGTCTAATGGCAAAGCTTGCTCCAATCAACACCTTTTTGGAGACTACACACGAGTCAAAGTTTCCAGTAAACAGCCCAGAAACTCATTTAAAAACCAAGAGTGTTTCTTTTGAACAGCACTGCAAAAAGCATAATCCATTCATTTAGAAGCACTTTCCAAGTAACTGAAAGTTTTCCTGAAGAACAACATCAAAACCCCCAAACATGAACATCTGTCTAATGCACTAAGAAATAGCCTGTATTCAGTGCTGAGGCTGGAAACGCTGTAAAATCATAGTATAGTGCACATTCCCACAGAACTAAATTAACACGCTGAAAGTAAGCCCTTTGTATGCAAGATATCACCTCAAAATTAAGCTTATTTGAACAGAAGTCAAAAAAAATAAGCAAAGTGGAAGAAAAAAATGCAATTTGATAATCTGCTTGGCGTTTTTTGTCATTTCATTTGGTTTTAAGTAAAAAGATTGCTAAACCTTTCAAAAACCACTTAAATTTTTCAATTCTTTAGGAACCCCTTCTTCTCTCCCCACGCCAAATTTCCAAGTAACCTCCCCAGTTGCAGGCACTGTCTACCTCCACCAGAAGCATCAGTCTCACGCAGCGAGACGAGCGCACAGCAGCCGTGTTCTTCCTGGCCCTGCAAGACCACGCCAGCAACTGGCTGCGCGCACCAGAGACTTCTTCCCCCAGTGCCACCAGCAGCGTGCAAGATGCCAAACTGACAGCTCCGTGTCCCAGGGAGCTCACACCGGACACAGCAACCCCTCTGCTCAGCTGGTACCACCTGACAGCTTACCTTCACATTTGCTAATCTGGTGCAGAAGCTAATCACACAAAAGATTTCATTAAATCTCGCTTTCCCACAAAGGATGAAGCGCAACAATTAACTAAGGAATTGTTCATTGCTAATTTTGCAAGTTCCCATCAATGTACAAACGAAAGGCGTAGCTGGATCTGGAGAGCAGTGAAAGAAGGCTCTTTTGTCCTAGGAAGCAGACACTATACTCCCTCACTAAATTAATCCAGTGGCAAATTTATGACAATATTCCTTGTTACTTCTTTAGCTACAGAGCTATGTGCTAATACCACATACCAATACACTGTAAGCACTGAAATTCCACAGAAGCACATTAAGCCAGCCTCATATTTTTATTCCCCGAGATGCTGCTGGCAGCTGAGCACCAGGAGAACAGCACAGAAGCTGAGCGAATGGCCCCGGGCTGCTCAGTAACTCACTGGACTGGAACGCAGGAGTTCCTGGAGATCTTCCTCTCAATTAACTAGATTGTACTAACTACGCCCATGTACTCACATACATATTATTCAAATCTATCCTGCAAGGACTGAGGGAAAGGCATAGTGGGCAAATAAACTCTCTCGAGCCCCTGAAGACATTTTAAATAGAATCATAGAATCACAGAATGCTTTGGGTTGGAAGGGACCCCTAGAGGTCATCTAGTCCAACCCCCCTGCAGTGAGCAGGGACACCGCTAACTAGATCAGGCTGCTCACAGCCCCATCCAACCTGGCCTTGAATGCTTCCAGGGATGGGGCCTCCACCACCTCTCTGGGCAACCTGTTCCAGTGTTTCACCACCCTCATTGTAAAGAACTTCTTCCTTATATCTAGTCTAAACCTACCCTGGTTTAGTTTAAAACCATTACCCCTTGTCTTGTCACTGCTGGCCCTACTAAAAAGATTTTCCCCGTCTTTCCTATAGGCCCCCTTTAGGTATTGAAAGGCCACAATCAGGTCTCCCCACAGCCTTCTCTTCTCCAGGCTGAACAAGCCCAACTCCCTCAGCCTGTCCTCATAGGAGAGGTGCTCCAGCCCCCGGATCATTTTTGTGGCCCTCCTCTGGACCCGCTCCAACACTTCCATGTCCTTCTTGTGTTGAGGGCTCCAGAGCTAATAAATACATTTCCATTTAGTGTATGTGTCTTCTATGCAGGAACACCTTACAGATTGGTGGCTTTTTTCTAAAAAGGGTTAGGTAGGATCAGATACAGAATCAATTAATGTCTATTAATCAATGTACTTTTATTGCACTTTCTTTTTTCTTTATAATGATGAATCTTCCCCTACCTTCCCCAGCCTAGCCAATCTAATTTTGTTATACCTTCATTACTCCTTTTAATGTTGCATTCTCTCCCACCATCCCCAGCTTATTTAAACTTGTATTTTTTGCTGGCTTTTATCTGTGTACTTCACCAAGTAATAATGTGAAGTAGTAAACAACATTAACATAATACAGCCACATCCTGTGCTAAGATGGCTGCTTTCCTTTAATAGCCCAAGTAATATTCATTTAGGGGCTACAGAGAACAGGACTGATAAACAATTAGCTTGGAACCATACAGTACTTGATAGCCAAAAGAAGAGTCACAGAGACAGCTTTTAACTCAACTCTTGTAAATAAGGTATCACTTAGCAGAAATGAAATCTTAACACTCTATTGTCCACAATAAAGATAGATCCAAAGTAGGTAAATTCACCCATTTAAATCAGACAGGAATCCATTACACCTGGTACGCGCCTTTGCCCCAGGCATAAAGACTATGGCCTCCTACCTGCAGGCTGGGCAGCCCACATTGCAACCTAACAGCAGCTCAAGGGCTCCGGTTGTCACTGCCAGATAGCTCTGGTGTTACAGCATTAAGAGAAAGATCTGAAGATGTTGTCTAACAGGTTTGGGAGCTGCAAAAGGCTGGGACCAAATCCAAACTGCAATAAGGAGCAAGGTCCACATGAAGGTGTGCTGGGTTTCCTACGAGAAGGCTCCGCAAGGACATTTCACTGGGAACAAGTACTAGACTCAAAGTTCAGCTGGAACTCAGGACCTCTACCCATGGTCCTCACTGGTGGTGATCTGCAGCACCAGCCCAAAGTCTTCTTTCCATCTTTCAGTCTGGACTATTACCGCCTTCTGGTGAGGATTATAAAGCCTATAAATTCAAAGAAACAGAATTTCATCTTGAAGAACAAGGACTTGATTGAAAATGCCTTTTTTATTAGATTATAAGTGATGAACGGATTTTACATTTTTAAATCCACCACGATGGCTAACACAGGTTTTCGTGACTTTTTCAAGATAACTTAAAAGAAATATTAATCTTAATGCATACATATCTGAAACTTCAAAACATTAAACATGAAGATCTATGGTTTCGACCATTAAGCTACGTGTTGTAATTAGCCTCCTCAAGCAACAGTGGTAGTTTAAATAAATTGAAAAAGTCTCAGACTTAACAAGCTTACAGTCACCTACCCACTGCTGCTTTTAAATCAGCCTTCTTTAGCAGCACTTTGATATATTTGATCAATATAAACACAAGGAAAGACTTTCTCATATTACTCACTCATCAGATTTATTCCTTTCCTTTGGTACTTAAATCCCAAATATGTTCCCTGCTGGCTCAAATCACAGCATCTCCCTGTTTCTAGTTTGGCTTAAATAAAATTTAAGAAATGTAAAGGTTCCTCTGTCATTTGTAGCTTCAGTTGAGGATGGAAGATGTTTTTTGCAATAATCAGCAATCTTGATAAGTTGATAACCCCAAAACTGTAATTTCCTGACAATTTAATTCTTCACAATTCCAAGCTGTATAAACCCTGACACTCAATTTTTCACTGGGGAAAAAAGTGGCAAAAATTGACTATAATACACTAAAAGTCTTTACCACAAATCTTACTTGCCCGAAGAGCTGTTACATTCAAAATTTCTTTGGAAGCTCTATTTTCATTTCTCATAACTTCTATTTCAAAACACACCACTTGC